CTTACCTGGCTCACTTGGTCTCACACTGGGTCCAGAAGCTTCTATTTTGGAGACATCTGAGATAAGAAGTGGATTCAGAAGTTCCTCTGCTTCTATACAGAATTTAGCTAACAGAAACCAGGTATATGACTTAGAATAGTCTTTGTCCAACTCAGCCCTCCAGAACCAAGGGTCGGAAGGCGCCAGTTCAGGGGAGAGGTACCCTGGCAGGCTGAAGATGAAGAGCTACCCCAGAACCTCCTCACGGCTCACTTGGGCCTCCAGATACTCATTTGCTCCAAAAGAGTAAGTTTTCCCTAGGAGCCTGGAAAGCAGAAATTCGAAGAGGTATTAGGAAGACACCAATATCAAAGATGGGCCACTTGGGGAGTCAAGCCCTATTTTTAGCATTTCTACCTGGTGCCATTTATCCCTGAAGATTTTATTAGACAACACTCAATTACTTACCCTGCTGGGAGAAGCAGTGTTACAAATAATTTAAAGGAAGGTAGTTTCCTTTTGCCTTTGGAACGCCTAGTTGAGGCTACAGAGAGACTCCCTAGTTAAATTTACCTTAGAGCCAAACTTCTCAAAGTGAGGCTCACTTCACCAACAGCGTCACCTGGGAGCTCCTTAGAAATGCAGAGGCACAGACCCCACCTCAGACCCAGGGAACCAGAATGTGCTTTTTATTTATTTTGTGTGTGTGTGAGGAGGACTAGCCCTGAGCTAACACCCCATGCCAATCCTCCCCTTTTTCCCTTGAGGAAGATTGACCCTGGGCTAACATCCATGCCCATCTTCCTCTACTTTATATGGGATGCTGCCACAGCATGGCTTAACAAGCAGTGCATCGGTGCACACCTTGGATCTGAACCTGCAAACCCTGGGCCACCAAAGCAGAGCACGCGCACTTAACCGCTACGCCATGGGCCAGCCCCCCGAATGTGCATTTTTAACAAGATCTCCAGGTGATTCTTAAGCACATTAAAGTTTGACGAGTACTGCCTTCACCTATATTAAAATGTATGCACCCCATGAGCAAGAGGCAATGGGAAGCCAGGTTTGAGGGGTTGGGGAGAAGGGCCTGGTAAACAGAACAAGCTTAGGATTAAATGCTGGCCTCAGGTGATCTGCAGAGCACTCAGCAGCCTGCTCAGGAATAACAAGCTGGGGATTCGTTTCACTCCCTCTTTTTTCTCTGGGCCCTTTTCAAGCTGTTCCATACCAGGGAAGGTTTCCCTTACCCCCATGTATGACTTCACATTTTGGTATCTTTGTCTTTGCAGTTTCCTCTTCTACGAATGCCCTTCCTCTGTCGGCTCAGCAAGCTCCTAGTCTTTCTTCAAAAATCTGCTATGAAGTCACCTACTTCTTACCTTCTACATACCTCTTCTCTCTGTGCTCCTGTGACACTGGGTACATTCACTCATTTGCTCATCAATTCCCTCATTCAACAAACTCAAATGCCTATTTAATGCCCCCTATGTGCCAGACACTAGGCTAGAAATTAGAGATCCAGATGTGAATGAAATACAGCTCACCCTTTGAGAGCTCACATTCTAGATGGGGAGACAAATGGATAAACTCCCAATTCAGCATGATGAGGACACTCTTATCTACAGGGGGATGGCAACAAAGGTACACTTGGTATTGCTTGGGTCTCCATGTTAGCAGGAGTCAGAGAGTGCTGTCATTCTTTGTTGACACTTCCTACCTCCCCAACTAGACTGTAGCTTTTTAAGGACAGGAATTGTGTCTTATTCTTCTGAGTTTGCACTGGACCTCTACTGGTCCCTGAGCAGACGGGAATGAATGAATGTCTGTTTTACACCTGGAGAAAGGGCAGAAACTCCATCAGCCTGACCTTACCCCATGAAGGCATGGTAGAACCGGGACTGGGGGCCTGGTCCCGCAGCTCTCTGCGCATGCTGCTCCTCTCCGCTCCCTGGCAATTCCATGCAACAAGAGATTGTCCCACTGGGGTCAGAGGCTACAAAGCTCACAGAAAAGACCTAAAGCAGGATCTCTAAGAGCTTAAGATCTCTGGAGAAAATAAAACCTCCCACTCATGAAACAATTAGAGAACATCAGAAGATAAAATCTGGTAAGTGTGGCGACATCTAGGAAGATGTGAGAAGTAGGAGATCACCCAGGCAGGACAGCAGAAGGGCCTTGAAGGAATGCTGATCTGGGCAGACAAGGAGGGAAAGGGAATTCCAGGCAGAGGAACACCAAGGGCAAAGGCTCAGAAGCAGGAAAGACAAAGGTATCTGGCACAGAGAGTTCCTGCCACGAAAAAAATGGGAGGTGTAGATGGGTAGACAAGGTGGCACTAGAACTCAGGAGGCCGTGCACATATGACATGGAGTCTAGACAGGAGCTCTGAAGGTTCTGGGGCAGGTCAATCACTATTGTTCTCACCATCTATGAAATAAGAAAGGTCTTAGCTTTCTGAGAAAACTCCAAGTTCCCTTATTCTTTGACCAAAAAGAGATGTCTTGAGGGCTGGGTTTTACAGAAGTGGTAAGGGATTGCCTGAGACCCTTTGAGGAAGACCAGACCACATTTGCAAACCAGCTGGTCAGTAGACCTGAGAAATTTGTTAATTCTTAGTAAGAGGATAACTGGTCTGTGTTGGGATAAAACTTGCAACCTAAGGTTCTTTGACTCTAAGGAACTGAGCTAATTCAGTGGGAGCATGACCCCTTCCATACACACACACACACACACACACACACACACAAACCTAGTGTTTTATAAAAGAAAATTGCCAGCGTAGACATGTAAGCATACTGACGAGCCAAAAGGAGAAAAAGAGTGGGGTGGCAACGAGGAACAAAAGACTAAAGGGCTGGCGGAAGGCTGCAGCCTTTTAAAGGAGGCACATCTTCTAAATGTCCCCAGTGGACAGGCTGAACTGTTTTCAATTCCAATAGCCAAACTCTGATGCTGCTAGATTCTCCATTATTCATGGATGGGCCCACCCCCTCCACCCTTAGGCTGCTTTCTGTTGGCAAAAGCCTGCATGCTTCTGGAAGCCTTTGAATATGGGAGCATCTGGTGTTCTAGGGACTAAAATACTGCAAATTCAAGTAACAAAACTGCTTTGCTAAAGGCTCTATTACAAGGAGAGCCAGCTTTCTCCAGCTCCAGCATCTTCCCTGCCCCTCACAATGTCACCCTTCAGAGCCATGCAAAGCCCTTCCCTACGTTCAGCTTCCTAACTTTCTCTTTGAATGGGAAGAGGGACTTAGGTATTTTGGGTTAAAGGGCTTCCTGCCCATAGAAATAAAAATTAACCAGAAATGGGGACTGAATCACCAGAAGACAAATCCAACCAGGGAAAACATGTTGGAAGCAGATGGAGGGCTCAGACCAGGTACTAGCCCCTAAATGACTCATTTAGTCCTCAAAAAAATCCTGAGTCTCCATTTTATATAAAAGGGAAACAGCCTCAAAGAACTGAAGTAAACTTTGCAACATCAAAGAGATAGCAAGAGGCAGAGCCAGGATTTGAACCAGGCCTGTTTGACCTTGAAGCCCATTCCCTATGTCATATGCTTTCACGTCCCTGGATTTAACAGACAACCAGCCCTAGGAGAAGGGCGTGAGAGAACAAGCTGGTCTTTTTCATGCTCCCCCACAGGACTATTTTGTTTTAGGCAAAACTAATATTTGACAGCTGTGGCTTCCATTCTCAACCTTGATTCCATGCCTGTGTATAAGAGGAACGTTTGTGGGGAGATGGGGTTGGGGGAGAGGGGTGGGCCTCGTCTTCCTCCTCCTCAGTTACAACTGCTGAATCCAGAATGGAAGGCAAACTTTGAACAAATCAAATTCAAATTTGGGCAAGTCAAATTCTGGAGGGACGTGCCCACACTTCCAACCATCAAAGCACCCTCTGCAGGAACGTGTGGAGAAGATGCTCAGCCCATCCTCCAGCTCTTATCCCAACTATTCCCTTTGACCAAGAACAACAGATGTAAAATCACTATCCATCCACCTAACTCTGTATCCTGAAGGCTGTCCTCGTATGCAGACAGTGGAAAAGGGCCTCTTAGCCCAGGAGAGCATGTTACTTAACAGCCCACAAATGAAACCACTTCCTCTCCACAATGTCTTGGGATATGAAAGAGTCCTCCTCCCCCCTCTACCTATCATGTCAATGTGTGTCCCCTCTCTGGTATGTCTTGGACAGGATATTGTCTTCAATACACGTATTGTAAATTATTGACATACTCCTTATTTAGAGCTAACAGGTGAGAAGGAAACATTTAATGACTGTCCCCTATGGCTGAACAAGAACAAAAAGAGGCTACGGGCCCCCACATGGAGACCCAAGAACAGTTGGTAAAAGAGAGTTAATAATGGGTGTGTTATGAGAGGGTCCTGATATTTGGAGAGTTAGAGGAATCCTTCAAAAATGTAGCTCCACTTGAGACTGGGTCAGAACTCAGAGAACCACAGAAGACATCCTCTTTATCCAGGCCCTGAATGTGATGCAGAGAATGGGGAAGGGCTGGCAGTATTCAAGGAGAGGAGACCTGAGCTGAGCCCAGGCTAGACATAGGAGCTCAGAACAAAAGGACTTTTTAAGACTAACCTTATCAAATCTTACAATAGTAACCAAAAAGTATAGGAACCTCATAGTTCAGATCAAGAGTTAAATCAGTGGCTGTCCACTTTCGCAAAACAGGAGTGTCACCTTTGAAAAAGACAGATGCCCAGTTCCATCTAGGAATTCCAAACCAGGACACCTCTGGTGAGGCCCAGCAAAGAGCCACCAGCCATTCTGATACCCAGCCAGAATTAAGCAGCACTGGTCTAAATCCTAGAGCTGTATTCATACTTCATTTCCAACTTGTTCTCCCCCCAAAACTTTCCCAGGACCCAAGCCAGTCCCCAACATGTTGAGTCAAGTATGGCTTTCCTCCAGAAACTTAATTGTTCCGAGTTCCTGACTGTAAATTCCTTACCAAGGCTCCACTCGCCCCTCAGCCCAGAGTATAAAAACAGGGTGATTTCCACAAACCACATTTATTTAGGGACAATTTGCCAAAGGAATCATTTGGGTTGGTTTTTATTTCTGATTCTTCCCAGTAACTTGTCCACAAAGAACACTGTGCAATGGAAGGGTCTGATCCAATGGAGTGTTTGAGGCCACTGCGGCAGCTCAGCCCGGGTGCCCAGGGCCAGTGTCCCACTCCAGAGGGACCAAGTCCATGCTCCCCACCCCCAAGCAGAGCTGTCCCATCTTGCTACCAGGCTCCGAACCCTTCATCTTCAGCCCTTTGACCAAGCAATGGGGCAGGCAGACAACTGGGAGGCCGAGGGGTCTGCAATAACTGGTACAGGGACCCGGGACACACAGGGTGTCTGCTACCGCAAAGGATGAAGGAGCTCTCCTTTCTTCTCAAACAGCTTGCTCTGTTGTTGGCATGCCCCCAGCTGAATTTTTTTCAAGTGGGTTATTTGGCACTAACCTCAGAGAAGGCCGAACTGGGTGCTGCGGGGGAAGGGAAGAAGGAAACAAAGAACAAAGGTAAGAAGGAGTCCAATCATAGTAGTGACCACTTACTGAACTCCGTCCTTGGACCCGGCCCAGCTCTGAACTGCACATGCGCTATCTCGTTTGATCCTCACCACCTGGGAGGTAGGTATTATTATGCCCATTTTAAGGATGAGGAAACTGAGGCTCAGAGAGGCTAAGTTACCTGCCCAAGATGACCGAGCTTCTAAGTCACAGAGTCAGGATTTGGACCTAGGTCTGTCCAGCTCTAAAGCTTGTGATCTGAACCGCTGTGCTGTACAGCCTCAGAAAGGGGACATGGCATGATGTCCCCTGCATTTCAGTAAATGTAATCAATTCAATAGAAAAATAAAAAGTTCTTTGCTACCCCTGCTTCCTATTAAATAACATCTCTATACCCGAGGTCTCAGACAAGTGGCCTACAGGCCAGAATTCACCCACAGGTTTATTTAATTCAGCACAGAGTGTTTTAAAATAACTTGACCAGGGGCCAGCCTGGTGGCGTATCGGTTAAGTGCACGCACTCCACTTCGGCGGCCCGGGGTTCACAGGTTCAGATCCCGGGTGTGCACTGATGCACCACTTGTCAAGCCATGCTGTGGCGGCGTCCCATATAAAGTGGAGGAAGATGGGCACGGATGTTAGCCCAGGGCCAATCTTCCTCAGCAAAAAGAGGAGGATTGGCATCGGACATTAGCTCAGGGCTAATCTTCCTCACACACATGCAAAAAAAGATAAATAAATAAATAAAATAAAATAACTTGACTAGCCCTTGAAGGCCTTGGAGTTTGCGGCCCTGGCCTCTCATCACACTCGCTTTATTGGATCCGTTTCCAGAGGACAGAGGTGCTGTTTTCTACAGAGTTTAAATCACAAACACGAGCACTGAACATGGGGAAGGTAGCTGTGAAGAAGGCTCACTCCAATGTCATCTCTACCTCACAGACTTTCTGCAAACAGTGTCACCAGAGGGGTGACACACTCAGCAGCAGGCACAGTGCAGCTGTATCAGCAGGTCTCTAAGAGGCAGGAGGCCTGGCAGTTACTGCAGCATCACATGGCAATAACGGGAGAAGGATGTGGGGGGAAGGACTATATTCAACTGCAGCTTCAGAGAGGAGCTAACATTTCGCTTGGTGGAACCAGGCCAGGTCTCTGATCTCACACTTCCCTGGCAGAACCTTTCTCTGCTGCAATCAGCTGGGAGTCATGTGTCCTCGGTGCTGGTGCGACAGGAACAAACACAAGCCATCATGCCACAAACAGAGGGGGCCAACCTTCCTGAACCCAGCAGAACACCGCTCCCTTCATGGCCTGGGTGCCTATCATTAGTCTACAAATAGCATCATGTCCATTGCCAGCTCACTTCTTTTGTCCTAACCCCTGCTCACTACACGCCAGGGGCCTTTTCTAGGTGCTGTATTTCCCTGGGGAGTTGAGCAGAGAAAGTAGGAATCAGACTCCATATTATTGTATGGAATTCAGCACACAGCCTTCCTGGCAAGTTAGATTATGACAAGGCATAATAAGTCACAGAATAAAAAAATCTAAGAGTTGGAAGGGACCTTTTGATAGGAAGGACAACTATCCCTTGCAACACAATGCTTGCCCATGGATCTTATGGCTCCCTCTCCCAGGGTTGTGCTGAGGAGGAGACACTGCCCACCCCCCATGAAGGCGCCTCTTTTCACCACTGAAGTCAATCATCTCTGGCCTCAATGACCCTTAACACTCAAGACTGGGTATGAGGGCAAGTTTGATATGACTCTTCCATCCAACAGAGCTGCAGCTTCTCAGACTTTCCTACTACTCAGGAAAATCTCTACCCTCAGCAGAGTGACGTCCCAGGTGACTAGCCATGTCCACCCCCCACGAGTTTGCAATGTCCTTCCCAGCTCCTTCTCCCACCTCCAGATGCCTGGCTCAGCCAGGCCCAGAACCGTTCTCACCATGGTCATGTAGGTGGCCTCTGATTTTCCACTTGGTTCTTCTTCCTCGATCACCTCTCGTGTAGATATTGAGGAGTAAATGTGTTTCTAAAGGGGAAAAAAAATGGCATAAACATTCCTAAAAATCAGCGAATCCTATATGCCAGAGAAAAGGCCATCTACTACTATTCACAGGGCATCGACCGCCAAAACCGGTAGGTTCAGAGGGTACTGAGAGCTAGAGAACTATCATTAAGAACGATAATTCAGTCCTCAGTCTTCCCCAAAATTAAGAAAATTAACTCATCTGCAAAGAGCACTATCTTAAGAATCTAATTCTTTGCTTCAAAAGCTAAACATCTTTGTTTGGATGGGCCTTTAGATAGCAGCAGGGAATCCTTATCTTGCCCAATTATTTGCACTCTGTGGTTATTTCCTCCTAATTAGAGGCATGGCGGGATGGCATTAATCAGCAGCTAATTGTCGTCATCTCTTTCAGAAAGTTTATGTAGTGGGGACGGCCCTCCCTGAACCTCACATCTGGAGGTTGGTGGTACTTTGTGATTCCCATTCCTGTCACTATTTGGGGAAGCAATGCCATCCAGTGACAAATTCTTGGGCTTCTGGAGGTGCCTGCACCAAGCTGTGAGAAAATCCTACTCTTGGGTCACAAACAGTCCCAAAGATGGAAAGGTAACTATTCAAAGAAGAGCTTTTAAAAGTTAAAAAAAAAAAAAAAAGAAAGAAAGAAAGAAAGAGACAGGAGTTCAAGGAAGTGAATCTGTTTCTCAGTCCCCAGTAGCAACTGTTTACAGCTCCATTACAGACTAACATGGAGGAAAAAGTTCTTGGTCCTCTCTTTCTAAAAGTCCCCAAATATTTAATTTTAATCGTTAACTCCTTCATTTAACTCCTGAATGTATCATAATTCTCCCTTATATTTATTTACACACTGCCTCCTAGGTTACGAAGCACTTGCATATCATATTATGTGAACCTTACAACAGGGCAAACATGTTTGTCCTCATCCTCATTTTACTGATAAGAACACTGGGGCTCAGGGAGGTGGCAGAGCTGGGCTCGGACAAGGACTTTCTGACTCCAAGTCCAGTGCTCTTTCCTGAACCCTACACCAGGATGTGTTGCCCAAGCCGGGCTGGTCCCACCCACCTCACCCCACTCTCTCCTCTGGGGCTGTTATTTCAGTGATAAAGACTTCCTGAGCCCCTGCTCTGTGCCCGCGCTGCCTACGCGCTGAGACCTAACGATGAGGAAGACACAGTTCACGGAGGAAGGATAATGACACCACCTTGATTCTGGAGAAGCATCCACCTCGCCCTCATCGGGCACAGCAGCAAAATGGCGAGGAGTTCTTCTCTTACCTCTGGAAGGGCCTTCTTTGTGTTCTCCAGGCTTTTTACCAGGGCTGTGGAAGTGTCGGAACTGCAAGGCAGGAAAAGCACGTGGGATTAACCAGCTGGCACTGTACATTGAAGGAGGCCTACGTGAGGCCCCCAGAATTTTGTGAAGACAGAGATCTCGGGGGGGGGGTCTCTCTAGACTCCTACAGCCAGCGCTGCCCAGCTCTCCTGGAAATCCCAGACGTGCATCCCTTTAATGGAGAGCAGGGAGGTATTCCCGAGATGGTTTGGGCCAAACAGCAGCGTCAACTTCTCCATTGTCACCCTAACAACTTTCTGTCCACAACAATGAATTAATAGAGAGGGGCCATGGGGTTAGACTTTACCAGTTCCCAGGACTAGGGAGATGTAGCTGGACCAGCAGGGCCAGAAGCTCAGTGAGGCACCAGTTCAAAGGGCTCCTGGCCTCTCCCCGGGAGGAGGCCAAGTAAAATTATCCCCACACACACCCCAAGCTGTGAGCTCTGGCCATTTCCCAGCCCCTGGCCTTTGATCTCTTGACCATTTGCCACCCGCATTTGCCACTCAATATACTTCCTTTCTTTCTATTTTGGCCTAAGGTTGAGCTGAAAAAAAAATCAGGGTTAAAGCTAGAACAGAAACCGTATTTTTTTGTCTCCAAGTGGAAATATTTTTATCAGATTTTGATTATAAAGTTCTATGTTCTCATTGCAAAATAATTTAAATAATACAGAAATGTAGACAGTTGGAAGCTGAAGTTCTAGTAAACCCCCTACCCTCATGGGACCCACCTTCTCCTTTATCCCAAGTACCACTATTGATATTTTAGAATGATCCTTCCAAACCTCTCTCAATGCAAGCATATGTACACTCACACAAAATATATTTAGTATATATGCTGCTGAAGTCAGCATTATATAATTTTCTTTCTTATAAAAATGGGATCATACTGTATACTCTGTGACACTACTCCATGGACATCTTTCCATGTTATTACATACAAGGTTGGGTGGTATTTCATTGAATGGAATACTGATTCATTGAATCATCACTTTTCTGACAGATAATGAGGATGATTTCAATTTTTAATTATAATCAATGCTACAGTGACCCTGTTTATGCACAAATCTCAGCATATCAGTCTGATTTCTTTAGAATAAACTAGCAGACACAGAAGCACTGCTCTTCATTTTGAGGGAAACTGGGGCCCAGAGAGGGGAAGTGAGCTCGTATGGAACCCAGGTTGTCTAACTCTCAATTCAGTGCTATCAGCATGCCCAGAGCAAAGACCCTCAGAGAGGCCAACCAAGTTCAAAACCAAGCCAGAGAGCCCCTGGGGAATGAAAGTGCAAATGTAGCAGGCACAAGCACCTTCTGTAGAATCCGTGTTCCAAGGGAAAGGAGACTCAAAAGGCAGCATTCCTTAGTCTTCATGGGGGCCTTCTCCCATTAACACTATTTCAACAAAAGAGTCAATTTGCCCTAGCAACACATTTCATCAATGGTGGGGTAAGCTGAGGGACACAGACCCGCCAACAGGCAATGAAACACTAGTACCCATGTCAGAGCACCTGGGCATTTTTGAGATACCAGAACTACTGATGAAAGTCAAGCCTTTAAAAGCACACTTCAGGGCCAGCCTCAGTGGCCTAGTGGTTAAGTTCAGTGCATTCTGCTTCGGCGGCCTGGGTTTGGTTCCCGGGCGCAGACCTACACCACTCATCTGTCAGTGGCCATGATGTGGCGGTGGCTCACACACAAAAAAAGGAAAATTGGCAACAGACGTTAGCTCAGGGCAAATCTTCCTCAGGAAAAAAAAATAAAAAAACACTTCAACAATAAATAATTTAGGACCTGAGGGCATCCATTCAAAAATAGCCTCTCATAATTAGAATGTGGTCCCTCAAATAAAGCCACTGACAACCCTCAAGATCTGAGCTTCTACATGAAATGTTTGTTGTAGATAATTCAAAAATCATTTCTCTCAGGCATTGAATGGCACCACTACAGTTCTTGCATAAGATTTATACTCTTAATTATGCTCTACTTAGACCACCATTTATAAAAGCACTGGTAATCTTTGTCAAGTACCACAGTGAATGAGGATGGTGTGGGAATGTGCCAGGCCTTTCACGAGCACTGTGAGCAAAGGGGGCGGGGTCATTATCCAGATGATGTCTAATATGACAACCACAGATGATTCTATTTTAAAATGCCCCCTGCAGTGAAAATGGCACAGTTAGAGCTTATCACTCTCTTCCACTTCAGGTTAGAGGCAGTCCTGCACCTCCAGCCTCCCAACCCACGAGGTGGGAGCAGCCCTCTACCTCTTATTCCTGTGAGTCTTCTTCACGATCAATATCAGAACAGGAAGCAGCAGGATAGTGGTGCAGACAATCCCCACGATGATCACCAGGTGATTACCACCCAGGATCTCAGGTCTGACGGTTACTGGGGTCACCAACCCTTGGAAAGGAAAAAGACAATGAGAGGGCCTCCATATTCCAGAAAAGAGCTGAGAGCCCCACCAGTTCTAGACCAAGTAGCAACAGCCAGTGCAGGAAGTAGGGGGAGAAGGCCAGACTCCTCTGCATGTTGAAACACTGAGACTCCAGCTGTCCCCATTAGATTGAGAACCAAAGTCTGACGCCTTGCTTAGCCCTAAAATGTAGATTAAGGTGGGTGGGAGAAGAAAATAGCACCTCACCTATAATAGAATTTACTTTTACATTAACAATTCTATCTTAAAATGTGGTTTTACCAAATGACATAGAAATAACAGACATTTTAGAGGCTGCTGATCTTTCTAGAGGAAAGTGATTGTTTTCAAAAGGATATATGCTACAACACTCAGCCCCATAGTCATGATGTCAAGTAAGGCCTTTGGAGGCACTTCCACCCATATGGTACCCTCTTCACTCAATTTCCTCAATTCACTCTAAATATATACATCAAACACTAGGCACAGAAGATACAAAGACAAATAATGCATGGGTCCTGCCTTCAAGGAGAGGGACAAACATGTAAACAAAACCACAGCCTGCTATAGGTTCTATGATAGAAGTCCATATGGGGTACAGAGGGTCACAAAGAAGAGGGTACCCACTTCTATGGGGAGCAGAAGAGGAGAATTTGTCAGCAAAAGTTTAAAAGTTAAAGCTGAGCCTTAAAGGAAACATCAAGTTTGTTGGACAGACAATATAGGGGAAGGATGGAGGGGACATTATGCACAAGGTCTGGAGGCCTGACAGGATGGTGCTTTTAGAAACTAGAAATAGTTTCATGGGTCTGGCTCCCCTGCATTTATGGGTGTGGTAAGGAATTAGGCTGAATAGGTAATAGGATGTAAGTCATGAAGGACCTTGATTATCTCAACCAGGATTTTGGCTTTTTTTCTGTAGGCAATGGAGAAACCAATGAAAGATTTTAAGCAGTGGAATAGAATGTTCAGATGTGTGATTTATAAAGATGGCACTGATAGCTGCATGAAGAATGAGAGCAGTGGCTGAGAATGAAAGCAGAGGCTGGTTAGAGGCCTACAGTCCAAGACAGAGATGAAGACAGCCAGAGCTAAGGTGGTGCTGATGGACTGGAAAGAAGGCAGCTTCCAAGTCAGTAGGAGAAATGACAAGACCTGTTGACCTGTTAGACTGAGGGCCATGGGAAAGGGCAGAATCGAGTACAACTCCCAAACATCCAGTTAGAAGACTGTGTAGACGGTGGCATTAACTGAGGTTGAGGAGATGGGCTGGGGAGAGGGGTGCAGGGGTAGGTTTGGATATGTTGTATTTGAAGTATTTGTGGAATATCTGGGTGGAGTCCATATAGATATATGGATAGAGATAGACAGATAAATTGTGTCCAACACAGGATATACTGCTGATATAGAGAATATAGTGTCCAATACTACTGAGGTAAAGAAGGCCAAGGAGGGGCAATTAGAGGACCATCGGTGATTGAAACTAGAGTAGAGGTAGAAGGAGAAACAGACTGTGGCGCACTGAGGAGTTAATCAGAGACGAGACAGGAGACACCACATACAGTCCTTTAACAAGCTATTTGGCTTTGTCAAGAAAGAAATATATAATTGATCGTGGTAAAGATTGCACAACTCTGAATATACTAAAAGCCATTGAGTTGTATGCTTTAAATGGGTGAATTGTATGGTATGTGAGTTGTATCCCAATAAAGCTGTTTTAAGAAAAAGAAAGATACAGGAAAGCTGAAGCAGACAAGGACACAAGCTAAGAGGAAGAGTGGAGCCTGTTTATATGCTGAAAGGTAGAAGCCGATGGAAAGTGAGCGCTTAAAGAGCCAACGTTGTGAGGTTCCTGAGAAGGAGGAGAGGATGCCACCCGTGCACGGGGTTCGGACAAGCCCTGGGTAGAAGGGAGCTCAGGATGGCAGGGCAGAGATAAGGATGGGGGTAAATGTAGATGTTTGTGGGTGGGGAGGGATTGGAAGTTGAATGAGCTCCCACTAATGGTTTGTATTTTCTCTGTGAAGTGGAGATAAGACTTCTGAGAGTGAAGAAATCCCTCTGTCCTGCTTCCCTCTCCAGCTGGGACCCTTTGCTATTAACAAGAAGTTGTCCCCATAGACTTACGTCTCTGGCCAGAGGTATGGAGGTGGTGCCATCCTCACCTCATTCCTGCCCCCAGTCAACCACAGCCAACCCATGAGGGCCCTAGCGAAAGGCAAAGTCCACAGGCCACATCCTGACTGCTAACTGGGTTATGGTTTAACTTTAACCCCTCACTTATCAGCCTCTCTCAGTCAACACAATTGAGTCTTTATTGTCTACACACCACTGGCCTGAATACAGTGTTTGCCAGAATACAGAACCTTTGATCAGAAACCCCTCTGTGTTTGGTTCTGATCCCTTCCTGTTTTCTCTCTGTTCTTTGCTGTCTGTCGCTAGGTCAGGATCATTTTCCCTTCCACTACAGAGCATACAGCATCTCCCTTGAAGCCAAGTAAAAATGACTTTGGACATCAACTCAATCTATTCTGAGCCCTGTATCTTTAAATCGGTAGATTATACTGGCAATGAGTAAGGTCTGGCCGAGGGCTGGTGCTCACTAAATATTAGCTCCTTTTTCCTTGACCTACCAGTAGGGCCATAACTAGGGTGAGGCAAGCAAGGCGCATTAGGTACCAAATTTAAGGAGGCATCACTCTCAGGGTCGTGCAAGTGCAGAGTCAGGACCCTTGCAGCCTCTTTGGCCACCCGGTCCTGGCCATGCCTACCAGCTATGAGGTCCCTCATCCCTCCCTAACCAAATGTTAGATACTTTGGGGCTCTTTGGGGATCACGTGCAGCACAATGGTTTTCCTGAAGGTCAGGTTTCCCAGGTGGATGCTGCAGGTGTATCTTCCTCTGTCAGACTCCTTCACTCCTTGGAGCAGAATGGAGCCATCATTGCGAGAAGTGTCCCCCACCAGGTTTACACGGTTCTGGAAGCGGCCCCAGTTCTGGGGGTACCCCAGAGGTATGCTGAGTTTGGGGTGATAGCGCAGCACAATCTCCTCCTAGAAGAGAAAGGAAAAACGTATGAGATTGCAAGGACTGGGGGACGCGGGCAAAGGGAAGTTTGAGAGGAGAGCTCTCGGGACTCACGAGGCCCTGTATGTGTAGGCAGTACAGGTACTATCAGACAGTATTAGATAACAGAAATCATGTACACTCACGAGTGTGCAGGCACGTGTAGTTGTGAAGGACACCACCAACCGGACACCACCAACCATGAACAATGGTTCCATTTGAAAAGAGGGATGAGGAAAGTGGGAATGAGGGACTTGAACTTTTTGCACTTCTCCAGTAAAAAAAGTAAAAGTATACCTTTACACTTTATGACATTTCCAGTTGGATTTCCAACAGGCACCTGAAACATGTCCAAAACAGAACTCCAAACTTTTCCCCCAAACCAGTTCCTTCCAGTCCATTCCATTTTGATAAATGGCAATGCCTTCTTCCAGATGCTCAGGCTAAAAATCTTGAAGTCATCCTTAACTCCTCTCTTTCTTGAACAACTCACATCTAAAATGCCTCAGCAAATCCTATCACTCCTACCTTCAAAAGATATCTCAAATCTAGCCACTTCTCACCTCCTCCACAGTTACCATTCTGGTCCAGGTCACCCCATCTCTCACCTGGATTCCTGCAAAGAGCTTCCTTATTTGTCTCCCTGCTTACTCCCAACTACAGTCAATTCTCAGCAGATGAGCTTTTAGAAATGTAAGTTAAATCATGTTACTCCTCTGCTCAAAACCCTCCAACGGCCTTCATTTCTACTAGAAGGACAAGACCTCCGTGATCTGCCCCATCCACTTTTCCCCTCTGATTTCATCTTCTTCTTGTTCTTTCCTCACCTGCTTGGGTCACTTCACTCCTACCACACCAGCCTCCTTGCTGCTCCTTGAGTAGTGGCCTCAGGGCCTCTGTACTTGCTGCTCCCTATGCCTGGAAAATTCTTCTCCCAAGACATACACATGGTTCACTCCCTTACTTTCTTCAGACATCTGCTCAAATGTCACCTTTTCAGTGAGGCCTCCCTAACCACCTATATAAAATAACAGCCACAAACCCTCCTTTCTTGTTCTCCATAACACTTACTATTACCTGACATATTATGTATTCATTTCTTCATCATTTTACCGTGTATCTCCCTCTGTCATGATTGTAAGTCTGCCACCAGAGCAGGAGCTTTGAGTGTCCACCACATAGCAGATGCTTAAAAACTACTTGTTAAATGAATAAGTGTTGGAATTTTTAATAAAGGTATGTAAACAGTATTATTATTTTTGTGTGTGTGTGAGGAATATCAGCCCTCTTTTTTTTTTTTTTTTTTGCTGAGGAAGACCGGCTCTGAGCTAACATCTACTGCCAATCCTCCTCCTTTTCCCTCCCCAAAGCCCCAGTAGATAGTTGTACGTCAAGCTTTTAAGAAAAGAGATGGGAATGGGTATACAGCCACAAACACGAATGAAAAGACCTGGCCCCCAACCTCTTGTCTCTTGTGATTCAAATTCACAACTCAAAATGTCAACTCTCATCCTATTTTCTACTGAGACTCACTTGGTGGATGACATTTAAATGCATCTCAAGCTCCCAGAGGTGAACCTGAGACTACGTATAATTCCCCATTCTCCATTATGATGCCACCCTTTCTGACCCACTCAGCCGTCATATAGGAATCAAGTGAGGACAAATGACTTTTTTTAAGGGATGACCTGGAAAATGTCTTAATTTATAAAAGTTACATCTTTTATAAATTTTGCACCTTAACTTTTATTAACAATAAGCTACTGGATGTCCCTTACAACACATCTTGACCCATAAGCACATCACCATGCCATAGTTGACATCTACTGGTCTAGTGGACTAACTTGCTGTTACTGCTTCAGAGTTCACATGAAATACTCCTCACCCTGGTCCTCAGAATCTACTACTCCCAACATCTGAAGCATCCATGAAGACAAAGAAAATTCCCTCCATCACATAAATGGGGCAACAGGGGACAGAAGAAAATTTACCCAAATAAGAATAAGAACATAATCATTCTTATTCCTAGCCCATAGCTTTCCTGGCTAGGCCACAAAAATCACCCTGCACCCCATTCTCCCAGGAACTCTACAAAGAGAAGGGAGAAGAGAAAGGAAACTAAAATGCAGTGGCCAAGTCATGTACAATGCTTTACATGGACTATCTCATATATATGCAGCTTGACAACCCTAAAAGTTAAAAATTTCCTTCTCTATTTCTTCCTCTTCCTCTTCTTCTTTTTCTTCTTCTTCATCATCTTCATCATCTTCATCAGAGTCATTTTTCCCACCAGGAAGCTGAAGTTGCCCAGCCAAGTGGCCAAGGTAGGAGGAAGCCCCATTCTGACAAACTCCAAAGCCCCAGCCCTTCAATACCACCACATGGCACATGACGCCTGGACTCTCCCTTTCCCCCCACGGTCCTGACACCATCGGCCAGGGGCTTCTACTACACAGTGATGGTTCCTCCTCGTTACCTTGGCATGCTCTTCTGATGAGAACGTCCAGTCTACTTTGGTCATGCGTTTCTCTTCTGTGCTCTGGAAAACACATCCCATCCGAGTTGAATCACCCACATGGACCGTGAGCTCTGGGGATAAAACGGTAAATCAAGGTATAATCTATAGAAGTCAAAGAACTTCTAGAAGAGACAACGTTTAGCCAAAGATTCTCAGCAGTAAAATCAATGTCACCACCAAATACTGCACACATTCCCTCCACAGATGATCCAGATGATCTTGTGTGGACAAAGAACTCAGAGGCCTCCCACTCAAGCCAACATGACACCCCAAGGCTAAGAGAATACCCTCTAGCTACCCACATACATCAAGTCTGAAGCGTCCTGCTATCTTCATACTAAACACTTTCTACTTCCCTTTAATTCCTCTCTCCTTCTCTTTTCCAGAATTTCTCCCACAAGGCCCAACTCCACTTCAAGTTTATACTAAAGAAAGCATGAAAAATCTTAAAGCCCCCTACTTTCTGTTCACCAACTTAGAAGTCCACATCTGCTTCACATAAACAGGAAGTGGAAAGTTACATAACTCTCATTCATATATATAACTCAATGGCTCTCCTAGCTGAAAAACTGAATCATGGGTGACTTTCTTCAATTTCTTTTATTCTTTTTATAAGTTGTCTTAGGACTTGCTTAAGACAGTTCTGGCTACAGTACAGGTCACAGGACTCTTTGCTAATTAGGCCAAGAGAACAGACAGCTTTCCTCTTGACTTTTCTTTCTATTTCAATCCTTGCCCCCATCCCCTTCCAGATCCCCCTTCCCCTGCTTCTGGCTTTCCAACTCCTAGGCTCTTCCTTCTGCTTATTTGTATAAGCAGCTGACCCCATCACGTGTTTACTGCATAACTCATTTCAAGAGGTCCCTAAAAAAATAAAGCAATGAGAAAGATGTTTCTGATTTTTCAGTAACGCTCTTTTCAAATCAGTCACAAAGTCAATTAAGAAATGAAAGGCAGGATAGTATTTAGGGAGACACAAGCCTAAGTCTTAAATGGACAGAGTTCCTTCAAAAGAGCATTAACTAAAGCTCACAAAGGAACAAACAGTGTGTAAGCTGACAACTTCATCCAAATTGTTTCCCTAGGAGAACACTAACTTCCTGCCCAGCAGGAGAGATGCACAATGGAAGGAAAGCAAAAGAAAATATTACAAACTCGAAACTCTGTGGAGGGAATTATTTTGAAAGTAATAAAAATTCATTCCAAAGAATACCAGTAGGGAAGGAAACTCCTTGTAAATCCATCAGCACATTAAGAACTGAACTCTATTTTTTAAATGCAATAATAATAACCGAACATTCTGAGTCCTTTCAGCACAGCAGGCACGTGCTAGACACCTTGTGTGTAGTCTATCAGCTAGCCATTACAATATTTTGAGATATACAGGATTACTCTCCCATTTTAGAGGAAGAAAGTGAAAGAGCCCAAAGCTACACGGCCAACAAAATGCAGAGCCAGCACTCAAACCCAGGCCTGAGCGAAAACAAAGCCCACGCTTTCTCACCCACTACACTGTATCACCCCACATAAGTGGAAGGATGGCTGATTCTAGAACAAAAGTACAGGAAGTTAATATTATCTTTTTTTGTAAGAATATTGTCTATAGTATTTAAAATAAGAATTATGAAAAAAGGAATTAAAGTAGTAAATCATAGAAAAATTATAAACTGAAGGGTAAACTTTGTAGAGAAAATTATAAACGACTGCACAAATGGAGTTTTCACATGGGAGGAGACAACCTCCAACAGGCAAGTTGGACAACTTTCCACTGGCCACAGGAAAATTGTTAGGAGCTGGATCTATTCTCACTCTGGCTGGAAGGGAAAAATAAATACAAGTTGCTCCACTGGCTACTGGGGAAATATATGACCACCCCTAAAATTGTTCTAGCCTGTTTCCATGGATTCTTCAACTCTTAAAATTGGCTCCTTTTGGTTCGTGCCCTCTGTGTCTCTTCTAAGCAGGAAAAGGCACCAATTTTGTAGCCACGCTTATATGGACAAGTGTTCAAGCATGGCATCAGGGGACAAAGCAGAAAGCAGTTGCCCAAAAGATAATCCTTGTGGAACACAGGCAGCTGACTCATTTTCTCTTCCTAGAGAACCAAAGCTTTGGAATCAAAAGAAAAATGCCAATTTAAAAGAGTAGAAAAAATTAGCAGAGAGGCCAGAGGCCACCTTCTACAATTTCTTCTACAACTCCTCTTTTTAGAAATCAGATTTAAGTGAGGGACACTAATTCAAGAATTTTATTCACTCAACAAATGTTTATTGATTGCTTACTCTGTGCCAGGCACTGTACCCAGGGCTGGTCAGAGGACAAAGAACACAGACCCAGGTGAACAGGGAAGACACAGCTGAACAGGCATCACCAAGGAAGAGGACAGGGTGCTCCAAAGGGCTCATTAAAAGAATGGACCTAAACTAGCTGCGGGGAGCGGAGTGTCCAGATTCTAGCTCTCTAGATTGCAAGATTTCCTGAAGCCATAGACTATTTCTTCTATCTCATACTTTTAAAGAATGTATCTAATTCTGTGGTTTTCAAACTTTTTAAAAATAGCAGCATTCTTTCTCCAAACAAAATCTTATCTGGCAGCCTAATGAATAAAACAGGAAAAAGAAAAAGGACTTTGGTTGCAGTGGAGGTGGAAGCCTGAGGTCCTACCTAACCAGGTCCTCTATCAACCCCCTGCCCTGTTCTCACCTTTCAGGGGCCTACTACGTTCCTTGGACCTTAAGGGTTCTACAGAGCACAGTTTTAAAACCACCAATCTACTGAAGCCACTCCGTCCATTTACAAAGGAGAAAATGAGGCCCAAAGAAGTTAGAAGGATCTGCTCATTTCTTTTATATCCCCCAGAACACTTAAAATTGGTACCTATAAAATATGGATGTGGCATCAATGTGGATAACTGATGAGAAGTATCAGGGTATAACAGAAAGACCATGCACTTTGTTGACAGAGGTGCCAGGGTTCAAGTACTGAATACGCCACTTAATAAACATGTGTCCTGAGGCAAGTCACTTAACCTCTCTAAGCCTCAGTTACCTCATCTGTAAAATGAAAAGAACAATACCTCCTTCACAGCATTTTCATGAGGATGAAATATATTTAAAGTAATAATAAAATAATGATCACCATTATTTTTATTTAAAGTAATAATCAAGTAATGATCACCATTATTTTTATTTAAAGAGCACCATTTACTGAGGACTCAGTCTGTGGTAAGTACCTAGCCAAAAGTCTGCCATTTGCTCAACAAAATTCAGTTCCCTTTCCTCTTTGCACATCAAACCTCTTACCCTTCACCCTTCTCTAAGTAAACATTCATGTACCTTTGGGCTCCTCTGGTAGTACATGCAGCACCACTCCTTTTTTGAACACCAGGCTCTCCTTTTCAAGGCGGATTTCACAGGTGTAGGTTCCCTGGTCAGCCTCTTCCACATTTTGGAGCAGGAGAGAACCATCATTGCGTAAGATGTCTCCCACCAAGCTCGCACGATTCTGGAAGCGCCCCACAGGCACGCTGAGGTTGGCATAATAGTATAGCACATAATCCTCCTGGAGGGCAACACAACGTCAGGGAAAATCTAAAGTCAGTGGCACCAGACCTAGAGGTCTAGATTCAGTAGACCTTGTTATGTGAAGACAGCATAGTCATCATCATGATCATGATCAAAAAGTCCTTGGTATCCAATTAATAATAATAACATACCAGGCAATACTCTAACTTGCACAAGACTCTGTGGCTCATTTTATACAAAAACAAATTGAGAAATGTGGTCCACACATTTTCATTTCTTACAGTCCAAGGTAAAATGTAACATCCACTCTGAAGGTCACTCTGGGGATTCAAACTCACAACTTTTGAAAACCATCTCCCATCTTTACCCTGCTTTCTGCCATGGCCCCTGGATTAGATGGCACTCAAAGGAATAACACAATCCCACAGACTGGTTGTTGTGAGAATTCCCAGCACAGTACCTGTCACTCCTCTCCTTTCGGCCCTTCTCCTGACAGCATATCACAAGGCATGAAGAGTCATCAACAGGAAATGGTTTACAGGCTGGTGGGGGGCGGGAGGGGCAGGGCGCCAGGGAATTTTTATTTCTACTTATACCATAGGTATATCCCTCTTATAATAATAAATAGTAATGAAAAATAGAGCGAGAGCAGCATTATAGGGGTAACATGCTCTGAGGTACAAAAACAATAGTTCACTTGCAAACAGTGGGACTTTATTGCTAGCAACACATTACTTAGGACATATTTCATAAATGATCCTGACATACAAGTATCTCTACAGAATCTCTAATGAGGCTCAATACTCCATTTCCTACTCCAAAGAGCTCCCATGAAAGACCCTCACTCAGCCATGCTGCATCTGCAAATCCCAACACCTCACGCTGCTGTGAAGGAGAAAGAGATGATTCCCCAGCACATAAATGGGGCGGTGGAATCCTGAAAGAACCTGTCCCCCCTCAAAAAAAAAGATTCCTGGGACATCATTCTTATGCCTAGGTCATAAGTCTTCTGTCTAGACCAATGCTCTCTAATACTTATCACCTCTCCCACCCACCTACGCTACTCTACAAAGGGCAGAAATAGAGAGAAGAAACAAAGAGAACTTTGTGTGCATGTCTGTCATTAGCTTCTCAGTGCCTGAGAGCTTAGCATTACCATTATTATAATGACCTTCATCCTCACCACGCAAGCTGAAGCTCAGCGAGGTTGAGTAACTTGCCCAGGTCACGGCACAGCCAAGCAGCCAAGCTAGGAAGAGACCCAGTTCTGACAAGCTCCAGAGCCCAAACTCTTGCAACACCACCTTACGACCTGAGGACCCGATTCTCCCTCAACCCACACTGTCCTGACCCCATTGGCCAGGGGCTTCTACTACACAGTAACATTTCCTCCAGGTTACCTTGGCGGGCTTTCCTGATGAGACCATCCAGTCTACCTTGGTCACACGTTTCTCTTCTGTGCTCTGGAAAACACATCCCATCAGGGCTGAATCACCCTCGTGGACTGTTAGCTCAAGGGAGGAAACAATCAAGTCATTCGGGCTGAAGGGATAATCTATAGAAGTCAAAGGCAAGAGGATACATCATTTAGACAAATACCCTCAACAACAAAAATCAATATTAATCATAAAGTACCATATACCCTCCCTTCCCACATGACCCAACATGGACAAAGTACTCAGAGGCCCCTCACTCAAACCAGCATGGCATTTCCAAGGGTAAGAGAATACCCTCTAGTTACCCATATGGCTCAAGTCAGAGGGGTTCTGCAGTCTTTATACTGCCTAAACGCTAACCAGTTCTGTTCTAGCTCATCCCTTCCCCTTTTCCAGAATTCTTTTCCCCAACCTCCTTTCTAAAGAAAGAAAAAAAAACCCTGAAGTCCCTCCTTTCAGGTCATGAATTTAGACACCCATATACAGGAAATGGGATGTCTCTTGCTCTCGGTCTCCTAAGAGTTCCCTATCTGAAAAGCCAATTCACAGGTATTTTTACTTCCTTCCTCTTTTGCCTTTTAATTCCTTTACAAAAGCTTCTCTCTGAATTTGCTGCTTGATTCTGGCTATAGTGCAGGTCCTTGTAATTAGGCGAATACAGAGCACAGCTCTCCTCTTGAATTTCCTTTGGGTTTGCCTTTTCCCTGCCCCCCCACTCCAACTTTGCCATCAGCCCTGGTTTTTCAGCCTCTAGGTGTTTGCATACATGGTACCACTCCACTATCTGTACATTGTTCAAGTAACTTCTCTTTTCACTAAAAAAGAAAACCATTACATGGAGATTTCTGTTTTTATAAGATATGCTCTATGGAAAGAGACAACATCAAGAAAGATACATTTAGATGCTGGCCAGTTTGTATCAAAGAAGAGCCAAGTGAACACATATGGGAATAAACAGAAAATGTGCCAGTCTTTTCATCCAAGCTGTTGTCCTGAGAGAAGAGAGTTAACTTCCTGCCCAACAGCAGGCACACACAGTAGGGAAGACATGAAAGAAAACATGAACTCTAAACCCTTTGGAGGAAATTATTTTGAAAGAAATCAAAATTAGCTCCAAAAATGATTTGGAATTTTCCTGTAAGGAAGAACTGAACAACTTTATGCGTGGTTAAAGGTATAAGAAGCTAATTTTTTGTGTGTGTGTGAGGACGACTAGCCCTGAGCTAACATCCGATGCCAATCCTCCTCTTTCGTCTTGAGGAAGATTGTGTGCTTCACACACCTTGGGGGCACTGTCTAAACACCCCCTGAGATCATGATAACTCTGCTTCCATGAAAAAAAAAATTCTCTAATACATATCATTTTCGTGTGTGTGTGTGTGTGTGTGTGTGTGTGTGTGTGTGTGTGTGTGTGTGTGACTGTCTGCATGTCTATGCATACTCTATGTTGCCTGGAATTAGAGCCAAGGCAGTTCTTTTGTGTGTTTTGCTGAGTCAGTGTTTAGGTCACCACGCACAGTTAAAAAGCTAATAACAAAGAGAAAAATAAAAGGCTATGCAAGCAAAGCACCTAATTAATTTATCCTTCCTACAGAGCTATGTCCATGGGATACAGAGAAAGATAAGGGGGAAAAAAGGATGAAAAAGTGAGAAAGAGTGGAGATGAGGAAGCAGCCCTGAGCACTTAGGTTACGTATGAACAGGAGACTCCAACCTGGTCTGAGGAGGCAGCCGGAGCAGGCTTTTTAGAAGGAAGTGAAGCTTGAGGGGAACCCCGAAGGATACGGACGTCTTAGGCAGGCTTGCTAGGGTGAGGTGGAAAGAGAAGGCTCCAAGCAAAAGACACCACCCAGAAGTGGGAAAGAGCTCAGTGCATTTGAGGAACCGCGAGAAGGCTGGCGTGGCTAAAGCCGGAAAGCAGTGACAGGGATTCTGGGACTCTCTTTGGTAATTTCATTTCCTGCTCTGAGACTAACTGTGGTTTTAAAGATAACAATTTAAAGTGCAAGAATGCCAAAAAGAAACTCTCTTTGTATCACAGAGGAGGGTCCTAGAACACTCAATAAGGACCCAAAGGCATTCAGTCTCTTATAGAAACAGAGGAAGATTCGGCCTTCCAAGAAAGAGTATGTTATCTGCCTTCTAAAACAGCTGTTTCGGCATAACTATGAAGTTCCAGATTAGGGTTTTCATTTTCAACAAACCAAGGGGAAATGAGAATATACAAAATTGGCTTTTAAAAATGCATGAGACATACAAGAAATCAAATACACCCCTTGGTCCCTTGGTTTCTACTTACCCAGTAACACTGGTATCAGGATGAGTTTCAGTAGGCAAAACATGCTGCTCTCCATTTTTCAATCTTAAAAGGAAAAAAATTAGAAAATAGTGTCTAGAGAAGTTTGGTAATTTAACAAACCAACAGAGGTGCCTCCAGCGGCCAGCCTCTGTCTGAGGTGCTGGGATGCAGCATTGAACAACAAAGACAAGGTCCCCGTTCATACGCAGTTTGCATGTGGGGGGAGATGGGGGAAAAAAAGAAGCAAATGAATCAATAAGAAAACAGCAGATGCCAGTAACTGCAATGATGAAAGAACACAGAGAAGTGTTCGGAGAGTCACCTGGGGGCTTCTTTAGACTGGCTGTAAGGGAAAATTAGCTGAAAGTTGCTTTTCAAGAGAAAAACAGCAAATAATTTCAGGATACCCTTGAGATGACAACCCTAGACATTCTACAACCTAAGAGTTTCACACAAACAAAAGACTACAGGATACGTAGCCTCAATGTTTACCTCTCTCTCCAACTAAATTAAAATTACTACTTTTAGACATATGAAGAATGTTCAAGATATGAGAAAGGAGATACACAAATAAGGGGAAAATTTTAAACTCAGTTAAGGCATTCACCAAGCTCTATGACACAAACAAGCCACATCAAAAGTCCACGGTGAGCCTTTTAAAAATTTTTTTAGGCAGGGAAATGTGGGTAGAATGAAAATTGGGCTGTGCGTGGGCAAAGCATTTTTTAAACGCCGATATTACCTCTGTGGTATTAATTTCACTGCATCCACTACCTCCTGGGAAAGGATTCGCTGTTCTACACAACGTCCCACAATTTTCCAAACAAAACCAAAGAACCCTAACTCCAAGGAGTTACAATTCAACCAGCTTTACATTCCCACCTACTGCTGTAGCTCACAGCCGTGAGCCCTGGACCCCTAACATCCAGCCATGGGTGAAATTCCACCTTGGAACCTGCTGGGGGAAAGGTCTTTCTGTGCATTAACATCCCAGTACCCTCCCCAGCTCTTGTAGGAAGTCCAGCACATATGGTGGCCATTTTAATTTGTAAAAAATGATTACCTAGAGATTCCTTACCTGTATTCTAATCAACAAAATGCTCCATCTGGAAAATCAGGGTCAAACTGTTCAAGGAGGTCCTCCCCTAGGTTCCACTTAGGCAGAGAACTGTTGACCTTGCTGAACCTCAGTTTCCTCGCCTATAACATGGGGATAATAATGCGAGGATCAAATATGATAATGTAGATAAAAGCACTTTGAATAATAGAAAGCATTACCATATAAGATCCTATTTTTTGCAACCTAAAAGTCAGATAGGAAAGAGTTTGTAGCTTTAGGAAAGATTTTGGGTTCTGAGCTTCTACCTTTATAAGAATGGCAAATGATGAATCAGAATGAACTGGAAACTTTTAAGTTTCAATATTTGAATCCCATCACAACAATGTAGATAATAATTACACTGACTCAGACATACCAAGAGTCACATTAAGTTTCCCCAAACATAAGTACATCTAACGAAAACCAGATCTCTCTCAAGAGAGCCACAGCCCTATTCCTGCTCCAAGACGCCCACCTCACCCCACACATACATAGGTGAGCATGGTAAGGGCTTCCTTTACAGCATGTCATAATTTTGATTCATTATATCTGGGACATCTTGATCCCTGTAGTGTTCTTGATGAATTCTTCTCCAGGGAGTTGATTGTGCTCCCTCTTCTGCCCAGCAAAAGGATCTCGTACATTCCCTGAAGCACTGCACCATTTGCATGGAGGATTAATTTACACACCTAACATTAGAATCCCATTTACAAATTTACACGTTAGATTTACACATCTAACATCTAAATCCCATTAAGTCCACATTCTCAAGGGCAGGACCATACCTGTGTTGTTTATGAGCATCTCATGCCTGCGCTCCAGCACTGGTAAAGTGCCTGGCATATAGATACTGGATAAGCGCTGATAGCTGCCAATATGACCATCAAATTGAAATCAATTTAGATATCCTGCAACTGCACCACTCTATTCTAAGAGGAAATCAGCGACCCCAAAAAGACTCTGAATCTAGTCACCAAATTCAAGTCACTCAGAGCCACACCCAAACCATTCTCAAACAAATTCTAAGAAATGTGCAAACAATCTGATGCAGAGAAGAGATCCATTTTCAGTCCTAAGTACTCAAATACACCACTAGAACTCTGTGTGAATGAATAAAGAGCAAGGATTTAATAGAAAAAGCATTGAATTGAATTTTTTAGAAATTCTCTTCCCAGGTCAGACCTTCCATTAACTAATTCTTTGATCTTTGGGAAATCACTCCATCTCCCTGGGCCTCATCCTTAACATTAAAGGATCGGACTTTTTTTTTCCTCCTAATTAATATAGCACCACACTAGAAATCAGTAGCTGATATGCAATAAACCAGAAAAGGTTATATGCTAGGTACTGTTGGAGTGTTTTACACATTAACCCATTTAACCCGCACAAGAACCCTATGAGGTTTCACAGATGAGGAAACTAAGGCACAGGTTGGTTAAGTGACTCGCCTTATAATACACAGCAACTGGCAAAGCCAGGATTCAAACCTAGGCATTCTGGATCAGAGCCTGTCTCCTTACTACACTGTACTCCTCCTCCACGTTTGTGCAAGTCATTAGAGCAAAGCTCTGAATTCCATTCATCAAAACAAGATTAATCTGCTTTCCCTGACTGAATGCTCCCCCTACCCCCTTCACCTAGTTAACTCCTATTCATCCTTTAGATCTCAAGTTAAATGTAATTTCCTCAGGGAAACCTCTCTTTAACCACCCTTCCCAGGTCAGATCCTAGCCATATGTTTTAATAGTACTATTTACCTTTCCTTTAGGATATTTGTCATAATTTCTAATTATCTATTTATTTGTGTGCTTGTTTGATTAAAGTCTTGCTCTCCACCCTCACCTTTCCCCAGACTATAAGGTCCATGAGGCCAAGAACTATGCCTATGTGCTACTGCATCTCCAGGGCCAGCACAGAGGAAAGCCCAGGGTGAGACATCAGTGATCACTCATCAGAATAAGTTAACAATACCTACCAGGGCCAACAACACTCTAGTCAAGTTTCAATGTCCTAGTTAGTTGGCAAATATTCAGAAATTTCTATTTATATATATATATATATATATATATATATAAATCTGATTAATAAAATTCTGTATTTTATATATATATATAAAATGAATCTCAGTCTTTAAAAATCCAACCAAAGCATTCAGATGCACCTTAAGCTCCTTGATAACAATAGACTACATTTAAATTCTCGCTTTCTACCCCGCTTCCTTCTCCAGATACTGATATATCTCCTCAGCAGATGTTCTTGAGATAATTCTGCATGGTTAATTATCTCATAAGTCAGCAAAACATTTTAAGATGAGCTCATGGCTCTTTCACAATATAATTCCTGGCAAATATCTTCCATAGCTCCTGGGAAGTTGTAACTCTCAGGATCATCTTTCCTATTATTAATAGTGTAGAGGAACTGTTATCCTTGGCACAATTATGACCAAAAAAAACTTCAGAAAAGAGACTCATGACAATGAGATTACTACACAGGATGTGAAAATGACCCCCAAATATTACCATATTACAAGACAAAATAAAGGAGAGATGCTGTCTCTCAGTCAAAGTGTTTGCCCCTGGTAAGGACCGCCTATTACTGAACAAACAGACAAGTGCACACCTTCCCTTACTCACACAGCCTGCTCCACTCGTAATGCTAAGTCCTTCCACTTTACACATGGCTGTGTAACTCCAGGATCTCAGGTGATTTTAGGTATGAGTCCACATAACCACACCAAAGCACGAACCTCTTAAAATGCATCCCTCTTTTTCCTTCCAAGACCATTATTAAATGCAGACTGGTAGGTTACATGGCTCCTTGTAACACAGTCTAGGTTACGTTGGTCAACCCTCTACTTGAAGGGGACCTTAGAAGTCTTTACTCCTGCTCCCTCCTTCAGATTGGGTTATACCTACACCATCCTACATCACTCTTTCATGAGATCAGGGCTATGCAGAGGGTGTGACAAGTAGCCTAGCTCTCTTGGGAGGTTAAAGTTCCTGACTTCTTAAAATTAAATATTGCCCTGTCTAGGATTGGGAGAAGAGAAACAGTGAAGGAACAGTCCTGCCATGAGTTCCAGGACAGTTAGCCACAGCTCTACCTAAAGCCACAGGCAACTTAAAAGCTAAAGCCTTATCATCATCATCATCATCATTTACTCTTTTATTAAGAGCAAGCCTTACTCCTCTCTTCTCTGAGGATCTTAACATAAGTTACTCTACACTACAGAAAGAAAAACTGCACCTACTAGACTACCTAATGACAGCCCTCCTGTAGAGGTTGAGAGTTCTGCGATTGTGGCCTCACACTCCAAAAGGATTGCCACTAAATTACAACCTTCAGAACCAGCCTTCTTCTAAGTGAGGAAAGTTTAAGTCACTGCTTAAGAAATACAAAGCAATTGCTTACCCAGGATGAGGCGCTCTCAGGAGAAGCAATGCACTGAACTCTCTCACAACTGCAGTTTCCAAGTCCAACTGAAGAGACTTCTGCCAGCACAGAAGGTCAGGCTCAGAGCAAACCATATGCGTGCCTTCCGAGGTGGCTGCAGAGACACAAACAGGAACCTCTAAATCAAGGTTCTCGTTTCAGTATCTGGCCCATTACCCAATTTTTATTTACACTTTCATTCTAAAAAGTGGTGATAAATTCAGCTTACTGAGGAAAGCCTCATATTCCAGACCTCCATGGTGTCATCTCCCCTTCTAGAACACAAGCTCTCTGGGGG